CAGTCAAAGAACTTTGCAACTAAGAACACTGCGTACCATTTACTTTCATTCTTGCGTGAGATTCAGAGGCACAGCAGCAATTTTACTTGTACGGAAATAATTAGTCGCCTTTTTGTCTGTGTTGTTGATGCTTACTAGAGTATCCTCTTTTGTTGTATACCTGTTTATTCCTGGGAGGTCCTACTTTATGTTACCTCGGCAACTTCATTTCTGTATGTTATGCAGGCTAAAAAAGTGATCCATCAAGAACAAAAGCGAACAAGTAAAAAAAAATAGTGCTAACTGAATCAAATAAAGGAATTAATAATGGTAACTTACAGTTCGCGTGCAGGAGTTCACACTGCAATTGAGCGTTCACGCGCGCACATATTTATTCAAGTTGTATACCCACAGTATACTAAGTGACACATTCTTTCTTATATAGCAACATATTACCGCTCTTCTGAAACATTGCTCTTGTGCAACGTAAAAACTAACTGGTAGGCAAGGTAGCGTTCAAAAAAGTCCTTAGGAAACTAATGATTTGTGACTTTTTATAGAAACAGATGCACAATAAACCATTGCTGTTGATTTTAAATTTGCTTTAAACTGCATTTCATGCTACAAATGATTTTCCAGGCAAGAAGGAAACTCATACGACTTGTCGTAAGAGTCTGGAACTCTGCTTGGCGTTTGCTGGGCTAGCAGTTTTCTGTTGCGTTCTATCTGAACACCGCTCTCCATATCAACGACATACGACCGTGGCCGCCTAGTCCACCGACAGATGACGGCTTTCCACCTGAAGTCCTTGACTCATGACAGTGTCCCCAGGCGCCATTGGGACAAGGTGGCGGACAACGTGGGATCGTTTATAATTTATCTTTGCTGGTCCCGGACGACCACACCCTTTTTTCGCACCTCTTTCAGGGGGGGGCGCTTTTGGTATCAACCTGTTTGGGTGGAGAGGCAGTGTAGTTTGAAGCCACCGCACCATGAGCAGCTCCGCTGGTGTTTCGCCTAGGTGTTTTGGGGTGTTTTTGTAGGCTAACAAAGACAAACAGGGATCATGAGGCTTAAGAAATAGCCCTTTCACCGTTATTACCATTCGTTCAACCTCCCCGTTGGCCTGTGGGTACTTACAGCTACATATCACACTTTGAAATCATTGCGAACGCTTTGAATTCCTCACTGACAAATTGAGCAGCGTTATCTGTCTCAAGCATTTCCAGTATACCATGCTTAGTGAAGACGGTTTTGATATGATTAGCAATGCTACTGCTGGTAAGAGAAGTCAGTACACACAACTCTGTAAAACGAGACAGATAGTCCATCAAAAGCAAATAGTTACGGCCACTGAGATGGCAGCTATCTGCTGCGACCCTTTGCCATGGTCGACCAGGTGTCTGCGTTGGGATCATTAGTTCCCGTGGCTGCTCTCGAAATTTGAATGGACATGGCAGTTTACAACGAAAGAAACAAGCTGAAAGCTTTAGCCCAGCCATGCACCAAACAGATTCCCGTGCTCTTGCCCTGCATCTCGCGATACCCCGATGATACTCGTGAAGAAGACTCAACATTTTTTTCTGAAGCGAATGCGGCACAAAAGGGCGAGTGTCCTGCATGAGTACCTCTTCATACACGCTCAATGTTATGAGATCCTGCCAATATGGCCTAATATCACTTGACAGCGAAGCTGGGCCCGGCCATCCTTCATGAAGGTAACGGCACAAAGTACGGCAGGTCTCGTCCTTCGCCTGCTTTTCACCTACCAGTCGAAAGTGATCCGAATCAACCAACTCTGACAACACAACCGAGACAGACGAGTTGATCTCGTCAACCGAAAGAAGTTTTCAAGATTTTTTTATCTCACGCTGGTGCTCTAGAAAGTGCGTCAGCAATTTCCAGTTTTTTTCCCGGAACATATTCTACCTCAAAGCTGAATCTCATCAGACGCATTTGAAATCGCTGAATGCGAGGCGGTAACAAATCTATCGTTGTCTTCCCTCATAGAGTCACTAGCGGTTCATGATTTGTATCTAGTGTTATCTCCCCACCACGCACGTAGCTTTCAAAATGTTCAGCGGCCCACGTTAGAGCTAGAGTCTCTTTTTAGATTTGTTTATAGTGCATTTCTGTTGGTGTTAACAATCTGGAAACAAACACCACCGGCCGTCTTTGTTTGGTTGTTAACGTGGTTGCTTGGGCGAGTTGGTACGACATGATTCACATAAAAAACAGTGCCAATAACGAGGGACAAGAGAAAGAAGGAGGAGACAGACAGTGGCACTGACTTACAACAAGGTTTATTTGCTAGAACTGCACAATATATACTTGGGCAGTATCTGACAAAAAAAGAGAGAAAAATACATATGTGATTCACATAAAATAATTTTATGTGAATCATGTTTGGTTGTACCTGAACCAGAGCTGCTCCCAAACCATACGAAGACGCGTGTGCAGAAAGAATGGTTTGATTCCGTGGATAAAACTTTGCAATACACCTGTCTGAGCAGATAGAATATTTTACGCTGCCAAAAGCCATCTGCTGAAGCATAGCCCAAACCCACTTCTTGTTTCCTTGCAGTAATTCACGTAACGGCGCGATCTTATCTGCCAAAAGTCTGGAATGAACCACGAGCAGTGATTTGCGATACCAATAAGTATGTGCATGTCACCAACATTTTCGGTGGTTTCGTATCTGTGATCGCCTGATCGCCCTCAGTTTTTTTTTTTCCGGTTCGGCCTTTTACCTTCTTTGCTTACTCGGCAACCCAAAAAACAAAGCTCTCTTGCACTGAACAGACGCTTTTTTTTTTGGTTCCAGGTTACGCTGGCTTCTGCTAAGTGGTTTAAAACCTAAAACAGCCGCTCAATATGCTGTTTTTGAAAAGAACCTTAGAGCTGTATATCGTGCATATGTTTACGACTACCGGCACTTTATCAAATGATTGATTGATATGTGAGGTTTAACGTCTCAAAACCACCATATGATTATGAGAGATGCCGTAGTGGAGGGTTCCGGAAATTTCAACCACCTGGGTTTCTTTAACTTGCACCCAAATCTGAGCACACGGGCCTACAGCATTTCCGCCTCCATCAGAAATGCAGCTGCCACAGCCGGGATTCGATTCGGCACTCCATCAAGGATTTCACCTAATTGCCTTTAAAAATATTCTGGGGCAGACGGCAGACGCCCAAAGCACTAACGGCCAAAAGGAGTAATAAACGTTGTCAGTAGCTCACAGTCTTTGCTTAGCTTCACTTAATGATATCCCGAGTTTGCGTCAAGTTTTGAAAACACCACTGCATCGCTGAGCAGCCCCAGTGTCTCATCAACAGGGGGAACCATGAACCTGTCATGTTTCACACTATTATTCAGCTGTGTGAGATCAACACATATTCTAACTTGTCCGGAAGGGTTCAACATGGGCACTATGTCAGAACACCACTCGGTCGGCCCGTATACACTTTACGGACGACTCCGTATCTTTCCATTTTCTCTAACTCGTATTTCACACCATCTCTTAGTAGGATGGGTGTACGACGAGCATTGCGAAGGAGATAAGTCACCACGTCTGCTATGAAACTAATACAGCACTTTTCCTTTATGGTACCCAAACCATGGAATAGAAGAGAAAAGCGCGCTTGCACGGCTTGATAAGCCGGAGCTTCGTCCACGAATTTCACAATTCCCAAAGCCTATATTGCTGGCAGGCCTAGAATGACATTAGTCGCCGTGTCAATCACAGAAACATCCTGCCTAATCAAACTATCGTTTCCGCAGTATGTTAGCAGGGAACTTTCCTTTTAAATCTAACGCTTCGCTACCTGGCCCCTTCAATATCACGTTAGGATGCTCTAGATCTTCGGGTAACCCTGGGAAGGAGGCTGGTACAATGTTTACTTCTGCTCCCGTGTTAACTTTAGCAGATACCATCACCCCGTTAACTGCCACCTGAACAAATCGAGCTCTTGCAGCCGCACCAGCCAAAGTTCCAACAAGGTAAATTACGCAATTTCGGTTCAACTGCTCATTCGGAGTATTATTCCGGTGCACAGGGCCCGGGCCTACCTTTGATGTCCTTGCTACCGCAATCGATAAGTCCCGCTTTTGTGGACACACTTCAGCGAAAAGCCCCCGTCGTTGGCACCTGTAGCACACTGCCCCTTCGTCAGCGCACGATGATGTCCAATTACAGACCCTGCCACACGTCGAACGCTGCAGGAAGTCTTCTTTGCCCCGTTGGTACTCCGAACGCCCCTGGCCTTCTCGTCGTCTTCCATGCTGGTTGGTTGGTGGCATGGACTGCGATGAAGTTCCCCTTGTTACTGTATGGCTTCCTTCTTTCTGGCTTTTGTCAGTGCTGTTTTCAGACTCAGTGTGGCGCCCATTTGAAGGGCTTAGTACAGCTTTGTATCCTGTAGTAAAGCTACAAAGTGGTCCAGGATTATTCTCTCTTCCATCACGCCAAAGTCACATTTATCTGTCAATGCATGTAGCACCATTACATACTGGTCAATTGATTCACCTGGAGCTTGGTGGCGGCGATGGAAGCATGCACTTTCATAGACCGAATTCCGCGTGGCCATGAAGTACGCATCGAACCGTTTATTCACCATTTCATAGTCCTTTGACTGTTCTTTCAATAATTCGAAGGTGCCGAATTCGTTGCGAGTCTGTCTCTCCATTGTATACAGCAGCGTACGTACAAGGCTTTCCAAGTTCGCTCGTTAAGGCAGGAAGCAAATCAATATTCATCGAATTTTTAATCCACGCCGGCCATTCTGACACCCTTTCAATGTCTAAGCTCGTTGGTGGCTGCACCAGAAAGTACTGGCTGGAAACAGCATTTCTTTTTCCCGCCATGCCACGAAGCTCTTGTCGCGGTATCCTGTCCTAGTCGAGGACGCCAATGATGAAGGTCCACCGTCAGTTCTCTGCTACATCGTTTGTGGTTCCGAATTACTTCCGAAGAACACATCTGACACCATGTCGTGTTTCCGTGACGAACGACACCACATTGAGCACGAACAGGAAAACAAGTGCTCCCTTCTTTATTCGCTTGGTCATATATATACATGTGTCTTCTTCAGGCCCACGTGCAAGGCACTGCACCTGCAGGGGGGGGGGGGGGGTATGACAAGAAGTTAGCAAGACAGCACAAACGCGATAAATCACACTTAACTAAATGACACAAGGTACTACGAGCTGCATGAGAAGGAATACACGAGCGGCGTCTCACATAGCTTCAAACTCGAAGTGGTGCTATTCAAGGTGGCGCTCTCAGAAACTAAATGAAAATACGCCGCCTTCCTGTAAAGTGTCGTCACATCCACCACGCTATTCCTGATTTAAAAAAAATACTGCAGCTGGGAGCGTATCCCGGAACACTCGCTAATATGAGACAGGAATGTCGAGAAGAGTGCGGTAGTGTGCTGTTGCTAGTGCCGTGGATAATACCGCTCTTCATTCGCTTGTGTGCGCGCATGTAACATAATATTAAAATACAGAAAACTATAATTTTAAACAAGAGTGTCATTCCTGTGCATGAGCGCTACAACAGGCGTCAGCATATCAAGATGTTATTCGCGGTTTATATGAGGATGCCTAAGCTTTGAACACAAAAGGTATAGTTATAACTTTTAGAATTCTTATAGTACACAGTCATTTAATGTAATTCCACTTCTAGCAAATGCCCTTTATTAAACGTATTTATTTCTAGCTCAATGAAAAGGATGCCGTGAAAGCTATTTTCAGAAGTGTGTTTGACGTCAAAACTGTCAGAATGATGTTTCTTCAAGTGTTTAATGATGTTAGGAAACACGTGGTAGTTGTAGGAGACCAGATCACGTGAATATGAGAGATGGTGAGCCAATATGAAACCCAAGGTCTTCAATTTGCAAGCCATAATTTTGTACGTGTCTGGCGTTTCATCGAATGACTGTTCAGTCATTTTGATACCCACTTCGCTGAAAGCTTGCACATGTGCAGAGTATTTGTACCAACGGAACCAGCATGTTTCCATGAATATTCCCACGTACTACATTTTTGGCACGTATTGGCATAATGCCACGTGCCATTCCTCAAACTTTGTTTCGCCCTAATACACTACACAATTCTAAGCGCAAACCGTGCCTGCAGTTTTCGAGAAGCTTCGGGACTGTAGTAGATCACTTCGATGCGATCATGCCCACTCCGCGAACTGTACAGATTTTTCTGGAACACTCGTCACCGCCAGCGATAAAGCTAGAACATTCGATGACAAGAGTATGAATGCCGATGCACTTCGCCGCTTGTCAGTAGTTGATGGACGGCCAACGCTCTGTTCGCCGCTATCAGTCCAATTGAAAACTGCTACTGTAGTCCGACTTTCCATTTACTGGACACAGGTTCACCCAAATAAACAATTTACTATACGATTCGCAGTGTGCTCCATTCGTCCACGTCAAGACCCCGTGCATCTGATGGAGGTGCTGTTTCTTCCAGGTACCGGACGCCTCCGTCAAGCCGTGAACCCAGCCCACGCTGTGAAGACACCGATGCCAGCAACGAGCAGCGAGTTAGCCGCAGTAAACAAGGTCTGCCACCGGAGTACGGGCTTTTACTTGACAAGGCTCATAAAACCAAGACGTTGACGTTGACCATGGCGACCATGTCAACGCCGATTGCACCTGCACCACTCCTGCTCCGGTAACCCAAATAGCCGCCAACTTTTCGTGGTTCGCCACTGGAAGATGCGGAAAGCTGGATCGAAAGGTTCGACCGCGTCGCCGCCTTCAATGACTGGACACATGATGACAAGCTCCGGCATGTGTATTTCGCCTTAGAAGATGCTGCTTGGATCTGGTTTGAGAATCAAGAGCGAAGCCTTACAATAAGGGGCGTCTTTCGCGCCAGGTTCCTCACCACTTTCGCAAGTGTGGTGCGCAAGGAGAAGGCCGCAGCTCTCCTCGAAACCCGGATGCAGATGCCAAAGGAAAACGTGGCGCTATTCACGGAAAATATGATTGATTTCTTCCGCCACGTTGACTCCGACATGTCCCAGGAGAAGAAGGTCCGTCTGCTCATGCGAGGAGTAAAGCAGGAACTCTTCGCCGTGTAGAGAGGAAGAAGATTATGTGCCACAGTGGGTCACGCCTTTAGCGAGAGGAGCCAAGCGCGAGCGTTTCCCCCGAGGGCTCTGATTCCTGAGTCCGTTGCTGCCGCCCGCTTTCTTCATCAATAGACCTGCTGTGCAAGTACTACTTGTGCCAATAAATCCCGTTTCAGAGTGGTGGAGGAGCGGGGTATTTCAACCTGAAACTCCGACCCAGGAAACTACCTGCCATCCCAGAAATGGCTGAAGAAAGCGGGTGGCAGCAATGGACTCAGGAATCACAGCCCTCGGGGGAAACGCTCGCGCTTGGCTCCTCTCGCTAAAGGCGTGACCCACTGCGGTACATAATCTTCTTCCTCTCTACAGCCGGCCTGACCAGAAACCCGCCAAAGACGGTCGCCGAATTCGTTTCAGAAGCATATACGATAGAGAAGACGCTCGAGATGCACACGCGGCAATATAACCGTAGCTTTTCGTCTACAAGCTACGCCGGCATTCAAGAGCTAGGAACCACTGACATGCGTGAGACGATCCGAGTGATAGTGCAAGAGGAGCTGCGAAAATTACTTCCTTCAGCGCAGCTTTACGTGAAATCCACCACGGACGTTGTACGCCAGGAGATGCAGCAAACGCTGGGTGTTCCTCAGCCTCAAGAGCCGCAGCTGCAAGTCATGAGCTATGCTGCTGCAGCCCGCCGCCACGCCGCTCCTCCACGCGCACGCCAAAACGCCGCCCCATCGCACTTCCGTCGCCAGACGCCACCTCCGCCACCACCCTCACCGACGACCTACCATTCGCCAGTGGGACAGCGCAGTGCGCCGAGGCAAGCCGATGTTTGGCGCACCCCTGACCACCGCCCACTGTGCTACCACTGCGGTAAAGCCGGGCACACTTACTATCGTTACCAGTACCGACAGATAGGACTAAGTGGCTTCGCCGTCGATGCACCACGTCCGCAGCCAGGGGAACGGCCAAGTGACATCGCCGACTACCTGAAAGGAACTCAGTGGACACCACAAAGTCCTTCCCGTTCACCGTCGCCCAGCCGCCACACGTCACCGCACCAGCGGCAGTACTCTGGCACAACGCGGGGTCGGTCTCCTAGCCCGTATCCGGGAAACAAAGGGCAGCAACCGATGGAGGTACGGTTGCTGTGCGACGAACTACCGAAGATCCTCCTACGACGACGACGCCGCGAAGGAGCTTTCCAAACACCACGCCAACCAGGCAGTCTTGACGACGAATGCTCACTCACCGAGGGTGACCTGACGACGCAACATAGAAGCAGCAGAACAAGCCGACGAAGCCATGGCCCTACGCCACGGCCTAACTGCAACGCGAGACGGCGAACTAGTGACCTCGACGTTCTTATTGACGGCCACAGTGTGACCGCTCTCGTTGATACTGGAGCCGACTATTCCGTCATTAGTGGGTCGTTCGCCGCGAAGTTGAAGAAAGTTAGGACAGCTTGGTAAGGCCCCAAAATCCGCACAGCCGGAGGTCATGTCGTAACGCCAGCAGGAATCTGCACAGTGAGAGTCACCATTAACGGCCGTATTTATCCTGCAGACTTCGTAGTCCTACAGCGTTGCTCGAGAGATGTCATCCGTGGCATGGACTTCTTATGCCTCCATGGTGCTGCCATCAACCTAAAAACAAAGTCGATAACGTTATCCACAGAAGAAGCACTACCGCCGCGCACGCCGTCAGGAAACCATGCATTGAATGTGCTGGAAGAACAGGTTACCATTCCGCCTTGGAAGGCGTCGTTGGAGGCAGTTAGCATCTGTTGGTCACCCGCAATATTTGCGTCGCAAGAGGAATTGAAGAGCTGCGGGGAGGCAAAGCAACGGTTATGCTCACAAATTTCAGCAATGAATACAAACATGTGAACAAAGGAACGATGGTCGCATACATCGAAGAAATCGTGGAAGCCACCAGTGCTTTCGCCCTCGCCGATTCGGCGGAACCTGCTCAGAGAAACCAAGCCCCTCCCTCAGCTTTCGACGTCAATCCCAGCCTTCCGAACCATAAGCAAGAACGGCTCAAGACCCTGCTGCTGCAATATGAAGATTGCTTTTCATCGTCATCGAAAATTTGGCAGGCGCCGATCGCGAAACATCGCATCATAACCGAGGAAAATGCCAGACCCCTTCGTCAGGATCCGTACAGGGTTTCGAGGTGAGAACGCGAGGCCGCAAAGACACAAGTTGATGAAATGCTACGGGGCGACATCATCCAGCCGTCCAAGAGTCCATGGGCGTCCTCCATGGTGTTAGTGAAGAAAAAAAGATGGGACCCTACGTTTCTGCGTCAATTATCGCCGCCGGAACTAAATCACAAAAAAGGACGTGCATCCTCTCCCACGAATAGACGACGCACTGGATCGGCTTCATAACGCCAAGTACTTTTCGTCAATGGACCTCAAGACTGGCTATTGGCCAATCGAAGTCGACGAAAGAGACCGAGAGAAGACGGCGTTTATAACACCAGACGGCCTCTTCGAGTTTAAGGTGATGCCCTTTGCTCTTTGCTCAGCGCCTGCAACTTTTCGACGCGTTATGGATACAGTACTGGCAGGATTGAAGTGGCAGACTTGCCTTCTGTACTTGGACGACGTCGGCATGTTTTCCTCGAGTTTAGACGAGAATCTTAGGTGCCTTGAAGCTGTACTTCAAGCCATCAAGACGTCCGGACTCACACAAATGCCAGAAAAGTGCAGATTTGCATATGAGGAGCTCTTGTTTCTGGGGCACGTGATTAGCAAGTCTGGAGTTCGTCCCGATACACGGAAAACACCCGCCATCGCCGACTTCCCGCCACCAACTGACAAGAAGGCGGTGCGCCGATTTCTGGGCCTGTGTGCCTATTATAGGCGGTTCGTGAAAAACTTCGCCCGCATTGCCGATCCACTCACTAAGCTTACCAAGGCCGACGTGGAGTTCAAGTGGGAAACGCCGCAGGAACACGCTTTCCAGAAGCTTAAACATCGCCTCCAGACGCCTTCATTGCTTGCCCA